CAAATGGAAAACATTCACATACACAGGAAAACAAACCTACAAACTAACAAATCTGTTCAACAAACTCGGACTGAAAACAGCACTAAGGGCCAACAATAACACAGGTAAACTACTACAAAGAAACATAGACACAACTAACCCGCTTGACAACAACGGTGTTTATAGCATCACATGTCAATGCGGATACACTTACATCGGACAGACTGGAAGGAAACTAAGAGATCGATTCAAAGAACATCTTAGATCCTTCAGAGACAATGACGGAAAATAAATTACGCCACACACTTAATACACTACAACCACGAACCAAACACAATAGAAACAAGTATGACATTAATACACAACGCACAGAAAGGACGAAAACTAAACATACTGGAGAGCCTCGAGATATACAAATAACACTTAAAGTCGGAAAACTTATAAACGCACAAACAAACTCACAATCACACACCACCTTCACACCACTAAAAACACTCCATAACAAAACACAAAAACGTTCAGAAGAATAAAACATCGCAACCAACACCAGGAAAAAACAAAAAACCAACAACGCACAAATAATAACCGACAATAGAAATAACCGCCACCAAGACCGACCACGCCCCCTAACGCAACAACCCCAGCGACAAGCGACGGTCGCAATACTGTATAAACCCCACTCAGACTAAATGACAGATAGTTTTTCACTGAAGATGGAGTAATGCCGAAACGCGTTTGAATAACTCAAACAAAAAAACCCGCGAGTGAAGACAGACCCAGTAGTGCCCGTGTGACGGTTCCACATGAGTTCGCCAACTCGCAGATCAAACCCCATCATCTACTAGAATACGGAAAGGTAGAACGTGATAGAAATCAAGAGAGAAGATGAGGAGGTGTGAGTGTGGAAGAGAAAGTTTTGTAAGCCACAACAAGGGCGAATCTCTTCTGCATCTAAATTACGATTTTGTTGTAATCTGTAATGTGAAAAAGTTCGCAAGAGTAGTGCGCTTATTACTATTTGCACTTACCATACAATTACATTAATAAGATAATAGAATAATTATAATAATTAATGCACTTACCATAACTAAATAATAATAGAATAATAATTTTTTGATAAATAATTTTTCTATAGGGTAAAAACGTAATAAAAATAAAAGTTTGTTTTTTTTAAAGAAAACTGATATAAAATTAATTAAATACAAAAAAAGTTGAGATATATAGTATATTAATAGTTTATTCTCTTTTTTATACTAATCATAGTAAAATTTAGTTTGAAAGTTAGTCGTTGATGTGAAAACTAAACTATCCTTTCTTTTATTCAAAACTGTTATATTAGGAACAATGTTTTTGTTGTTAAAAACAGTTTACTTGATACTTAAACTAACATGCACGCCTGATGCTTTTTACTGAATACTGCTGCTTGTTAGTTATCAAGTTTGTTATATAAAATCCGTTTTATATTGATTGAATATAAAAAATATATTTTGCATTCTATAAATTCACTTTTCCACATCCAAAATGTAACTGTTAAATGTAAACAATGTTTGTAAATCCCAGGCTCTGAAGATGATCTCACTAAAGATCGAAACGTTGGCACGATAAAGAAAATGTTTTTCTGAAACCTATATCACACCAGACCGCATCTCACGATTTCTGAATAATTAGGAAATTGATGTGAAACCTAAACAATGGCTGCTCTTTTTCATAAAAGGTTGGTTTACAAACTATTACGAATGGTTTTCAATATTTCTTTTGCCAGTAATAAAAAAAACCATATTTTTTCTAATAACTATTTTCTACTGTTTCTTTTTTAAATTATATAATTTGAAATGTAGGCTCTTCAACAGTGTACAGCATGGTGTTTGAGAAAATTCTATTTTACGCATAATGTTTAACCTCTGGACAGGAGTCCTCTTCAGTGTAGTTAAAATATATCGGGTAGACACCGCAACAATGTGTTTCCCAATGTTTTTGACCCCCTTCGCATCAGCCCTTATTCAATGTAGTTACAATTTATCTGGTTGACTCCCCAACAATGTCAGTAACATTGTTATATACATATATACACATACAATATATATGTTCTAACAATAGTATGAAGTAAGAATTGAATAAAGAGTCAATCTAGCATTAAATAACAGAACACTTAATCTGTTCCTCTAATGTCTTTTAAATGAATATTGAATACACATTGTTTTGAAAATAAGAAAACCCAACGGTAGTTAATAATAATTATTAGCAAATATGGTAAACTCTTTGCACAAAACATGAAAAATAAATTTTAATTATTGACATGGAAGCAACAACGTTTTAGCTAAAAATGATCGAAACTTGTTATGTTTAACTGTTATTGTACAGTAGTAAAAAATAGCCTATATTCTGTATTTTGTCGGTAAAAATAATAAAATTGATTGAGATTGTAATTGAATATTGTAATTTATATTTAGTTTTTATTAGGGTTTTATTTTGATCATGGCGTTCGCTTATTGAAAACATAAAATCCAAGAACATTCTAGCGAGTGTCAATAGGAAATAATCAAAAAAATGCATCAAATAAAGCATAAAAAACTGCGCATCTTAGAAAGCAGAAGAGATGCCAATACATCGCCAAACTGTGCGCTACGCTTGTCCGCAGGAGGAATTGCTTTGGGACGTACCTTCGAAACTGGCCCAAATAATTACATTTCTTGATGAACTGCGACTCACTATTGTGCTACAGGTATAGAACGGGTAATACAATAGCTCTTAAATGGTGCAGCATATTACACAACCGAATACTAATACATCTACATTTACATCTGATCATAGTTTTTCAGGTGCTAATGAAATTTTTTTTGCACCAAAGGCCTATTCAAACTCTACTGAGCTCCTCGTCAGTTCCAAAGACAAGAGACCTTATACCCTAGCTCCTAAATAATGATTAAACTTGTACTTTATAAAAATTTATTCAAAAATTGTTTACGCTCAAGTTAAATTATCTTTCACATTATTTGCGTTTTTTATTATATCATTTAATTTATTACGAGACAACGTTGTTAAGAAAGTTAACCCAGGGTTAACATGCTAAAGTTAGTACATGAATAATAAAAATTAATAAATGTGAAAAATTAGCTGCTATAGCTGTTTACGTTTTTACAAAACTATTACATTGGGCTGGACAAGTATTATTCAGTTAATTATAATGTAGCATAAATTTTCATCATGACTGGACACCTAACACATATTTCTCATTCTCTCTCTCACTCTCTCCCTCTCCCCCTCTCTCTCACTCCCTCTCACTCTCTGTGTCACTCTCTCTCTCACTCACTCTCTCACACCCTCTCTCTCTCACTCTCTCTCTCTTTCTCTCTCACTCACTCTCTCTCACGCTCTCTCTCTCACTGTCTCTCTCTCGCTCATTCTCTCTCACCCTCTCTCATCTCTCCCTCTCCCCTCTCACTCACAAACTCTCTCACATACACACACACTACTTTAAAGAATTTTTATTTTCAAAACCTACATCACACAAGACCACATATCACTCTCTCCACATAATCTAAGATAAAAGTTTACATGTCAGGGCGTGATATGACTTTCACTGAACCGTTAAAACGCCATAAAAATTAATAATAATAATAATAATAATTCAATTCACTAATTTCGTGGTCCGCTTGACCAGTTAATATCTTACAATTAATTAAGGTTTTCAGTTGAGTTAAAAAACTCAATGGCACGAGCGAGACTCGAACCCACGATCTTCGGCTTGATACGCCGCTGCTCTACCACTTAGCTATCGAGACCTCGATCCACTCGGACACCAACTTCCAAACTTCGGAAAATTCAAAAGGTGCGGTTGAGGTGGGAAGTTGGTGTCCGAGTGGATCGAAGTCACGATAGCTCAAGTGGTAGAGCAGCGGTGTATCAAGCCGAAGATCGTGGGTTCAAATCCCGCTCGTGCCACTGACTGTTTTATCTCAACTGAAAACCTTAATTAATTGTAAAATAATAATAACAATAATAATTAACACCTAATGTAATAAAATATGACTTTCGTAATAAGTCTTTCCTGGCAAAAAATAAAAATAAAAATAAAATAAAAATATTCCAATAAATATTCGGTCACGATTTGCAGTTAAAAGGGTCATATTGACATTTTAGTCAATAATGATTCATATTTTGATATGATCAATTATACTTTATTGAATTAGTAATATGTAATAATAACACTTAATTGAATTGAAAACAATACAAGAAAAAAATAATGAAAAATATTGAATAAACATTAGTGGCATGAGTTGAAAATTGGAAAAAATGTAATTAAAATATATAACAAAATATAGGAAATAAATGATCTAATAAAACTGACGTATTTGATTCATTTCAGAAACAATTGAAAATTTGATATATTGAACTGTTGTGTGTTGAATTAATATTGAATAAACATTACTGACTAGGACCCTGAGTTGAAAATTGAAAAAAAAAATATATAATTAGAATATAAAACAAAATATCAGAAATAAATGATCAAATAAAATTCAAATCAGAAATAATTGAAAATTTGATATATTCAACTGTAGTGTGTTGAATGAATATTCAATAAACATTAGTAACTACTATTATGAGTTGAAAATTGAAAAAAAATGTAACTAGAATGTATAACAAAATATGGGAAATAAATGATCAAATAAAACTGACGTACTTGATTCATGTCAGAAATAATTAAAAATTTAATATATGCAACTGTTGTATGGAATGAATACTGAACAAACATTATTGATTAAGACTGTGAATTGAAATTTGAAAAAATGCAATTAGAATATATAACAAAATATGGGAAATAAATGTTCAAATAAAATTCAGATCAGAAATAATTGCAAATTTGATATACTCAACTGTTGTGTGTTGAATGAATATTGATCGTTAACTATTATACCCCGTGACCCTTTTTTCCGCCTTCGTTACACTACAAAGTATTTCTTTTACCCTGTCCTGTCGTTAAAAAAAAGAACAGATTTAAAGGATTGTAATTGACGCGAGATTTAGGGGGGAGCGAGGAGCGGGCTGGCGAATGTGCGCATTGCGGAGCCGGCTGGGCGGTCAATCGTCGGAGGCGAGGCGTCCTCCGGATGCGCACGGGCCGCGCTCGGGCTCCGCACCTGCCTCCGCCCTTTTCTCAGTCCAAGCCCGGATGTCGGCGAAAAAGAACTTCTGCCGCTTCACCCGGCTTCAGGACGACTACCTCATCCAGCTCGTGTCTGCACAGCCGCTCATCTACGACCCCAGCCACCAGTACTACAAAGACCTTTCGGTCAAAGATAATGTCTGGAAGGAGATATCTCTATCCATTATGAAAACCGGTACTTGTCTTAGTTTTATTTACCTTATTACATTTTATAAACGTTCTTATCGTGAGTTGAGTTATTTAGACATGGAATACGCACATATTTTGATTCTGTTTATAAGAAACAATCTACACATATTATGCAATGCAAAATAAACTGATAATTACGATCATTTATGGTACATGACACGTGCTGGAAATCAACATTGAACATTCTTATCTTATGAATGTACTTTTTTTAATTATTATTCTTTTTTACCTAAGTTCTTTTTTGAGATGAAAAAGTCATTGTCACGAGTGTGTTTCGAACCCACGACCTTTGGCTGAATTCGGTGCTCTAACAAATTGAACTAACGTGACTTGTATTTACTCAGACTCCAACTCCCCATCTCAACCTACAACCTTTCGCATTTTAACTCTTTTTGCCATTTTTCATATGTCGTGTCCCATCCTCAGCGACTTATGAAAATGGCCACGGCGACCTGTTAGTGACTTGGTGTGCTGAACCAATGTTGGAACTCTTTTTCATTTAATTGTGTGGGTTAAAATAAGCCATGAAGCCATCGCCATTTTAAAACGGCGTGGAAGATAGTAAGGCACTTTGAGGAAACGGTTTGGGCTAGTGGGTTAGGGTGAAGGTATAGTTTAAAGTGGAAATTGAAGAAGGTGTTCCCATAAGATCGTTCACGAAAGAGATTTTAAGATCTTTTAAGATGGATCGTTGATTGATGGCATAGAAAGAAGCATTGAGGATACGGCGGAGAACTTTAGATTGAAAATATTGAATTTGTTGCGGATGATTTGGCCCACAGTTCGACAACGTGGGTCCAAATAGGTCTATGAGTCTTTTATTTGCGGTTAGTTTGTTATGTATACATAGGGTTGATTTTGGTTCCAATATGTTCTGAGTAGTCTATATCTATTGTTAAGTTCTTGCCGTTCTACTTGTGGATGTGGGTTCCATGAAGGCCTACTAAGTAAAGCTCAAGGTTGCGGACTTGGTTCGATGGTGTACTATCTAGTTGTTACTGTGCACTGGTGGGCAGGTTTGACGTTTGTGCATAAACGTAACTTGTTGGCCTTTTTGTTCGTTTAACCTGATCCGCCACAGATTGCACTAGTCGGTGAATGATATAATGAATGTTCTTAAGAAAAACATGTCCTGGTAGAGAACGTCACTACGAATCTATCCTTCTGCCCATTGCGTCATCAGATGTAATCACAAACGGACCGATCTGGATCACTTGTTGAGTGGTGACTTATGACTTTAAAGTGTGATGACCACTTTTTTATTCACGAACAATCTGGATCTCGTGTCTGGATGAAAACCAAGCAATATGTCATTATAGCCTTACCGTCCTTGACGGAGTTGGATTGCATCGGTCTTCGAAGAAATTTTAAATCTATCTATTGACACCGAATTAAGTCAATTTGTACATAGCTTTAGCATTTTTGGACTTTAATAATGATTTTAACAAAGGTCGAAAGTATAGCAGTAACAACTGAAATAGCGTTTTCATCCAGATCATATCGAGATTCTGATTATTCGTGCAGAATCACACTGTCATTGTAAAAGCCTTTTGACATGACTACATGCTCTCTGTGACGGGTGTTTCACACCTTCAGGTGTCGTTTTAGTCGCTTCGTTGGAAGTTTTTTTAACCAAAGTTTTCAAAAAGATGAAAATAATGCTTCAGAAAATAACTTTCTTTTTCAAAACTGTGTTATCTAAGAGTTTTTTTTTTCTAAGGGTCTTAAATACCAGATTTTTTAACTTGACGTGATCTTTGCGAAATTTTATTTTTAAGCAGTATTCATTGGTATATGGTAGATCTCGTCGCAGGCTCCGTCCAATTTTGTTTAACGTTCCTAATTGTATTTCAGTTGAGGAATGCAAAGTGAGATGGCGGTCAATCAGAGATCTTTACAACAGGAAGAAAAAGGAAGTACTGAAAAACCCCGGATCTGCTAGAGCGATAAAATGGGAGTACATGGACCAGCTTAGCTTTCTCGACAGGGCGGGCCATATAAAACAGTAAGTGACAAATCGATTCTAAGAACTATTCCTTTGTTCAGACCGTAACAAAGTCTGCCAGCGCTGTCAACAATGCCGGACTTCCAATTTTGTCTGTCCTGTTAGTTGGACCTTACAACCAGAGGTCAATTTAGTCATGAAAACACATTCATTTTTAAAATACATTATCAATTGGTCAAACGGACCACGAAAATTAGTGAATATATTATCAAGTTTTATTTATGCTGAAGGCGAAAAGCTATACTTAAAAGTTATATTTAACTTAAAGCATGTAACACTGTTGTTTGTACAATTGGAATAGACGTTCAGATAAAAGTGCGTAAACTCCAATCGAGGAAAGGATCTTTGAACAAGGTTTTTGTTTGGCTTGACATTTTTATTGCTGTGGGACAAGAAATAAACCCAACCGAAGCACGCTTTATTTAGTTGCCCATTTACGAAGTCTTGTGATTTGCGAGTTATGCCTAATAAAAAAAAGTGTTTTTATTTAAAAGCTACTCCATCCTTCTTTGTATTAAGTGGCAATAAAATCTTAACTAGCGACAATATCATTAACATATTATTTATTTTTTAAGTCGTAAGGGAGTTTGATAAGGGTGCGATTGTTAAATTGAATCTAGATAGAAAACGTCTTGCTAATGATAGCTGGCATTGATAAACAAACACTAGTAGCAAAACGTAAAATAAAAATAATAAAACGCAATATAAAATATTACATTAAATAAAGAATATAGGCAATATTATTTTATGGATACTGAAAATCCTTTAACAATTCTACTAAATTATGTAATTTGGGTTGTTCCTTATAAACAAGAAAACAATAATACGTTTAATAAGTTGTTAAGCACTTGTTTGCACTTTCTTTTATGGCATTGATTACTAACAACTTTCTTCCGACACAATTTCCAAACAATCCACAAACAAATCATACGTGCGAGAAAAAAATCGCTAACCAAAGTGTCTGATAAAAACAAAGCGATATAAAGCGGACCCTCGTTCAACGACACGGTTTATTAAATGGGGTGGCACATCAGTTAAGGCTTAAGATACTTCAATGAAGGGATCTCGGGTTCGGATCTCAATGGGCCTGAACCCAAAAAACAAGTTTACAATTTAAGTCACTAGGTTTCGTGTCCGCTTGATCAATTAATATCTTTCAATTCATTAAGGTGACTTCGATCCACTCGGACACTTGAAAAATGGCAAAAAGGAAGGAAAATTCAAAAGGTGGGGTTGAGATGGGAAGGTGGTGTCCGAGTGGATCGAGGTCACGATAGCTCAGGTGGTAGAGCAACGGCGTATCTAGCCGATGATCGTGGGTTCGAATCTCGCTCGTGACACTGACTTTTTTATCTCAACTAAAAACCTTAATTTATTTACAATAACTTGTCTTATATAATATTTATATTTATAATAACTTAACAACTGTTAAATGTGGATAATTTTTTTGAAAAATATAAGACCTAGTGATGACCTAGAAGGCCGGGTCGAAAACTTGGCAAATTTGGAATTTTGTTTTTATGTTCTGACCCTACTACTGATAATTAATAGATAAAACCAATCTTTGAGTGGTCGGTATGCATGTCTTCAATATGTATTTGTCCATATTTGTATGGACATATATATACATCAAATCGTGATATCAAATCTTTTATACACAGTTGAAACGAAGTTAGAACATTTGGCATCAACCACTTTGTTGAAAAAATAAATCCATTGCAGGTTTACGAGATAGATAAATTACCAAAAAACGGCAAAAACGAAGTAATAAATCTACACCGACCACGTTTTATTGCGTGAACTAATTTGCATTTTAAGTGTTTTACTCTGTTTTGATCGTGCCGACCGACCAGGCACAGCCGGAATCGCAAACATCTAATGAAATTTATTTATTGCTTAATACAGGTTTATCTATTAATCTGTAATCAATCAGTATTCAGTAATTATATTTACATGCGTAATGTTTAGTAACCGCTAATTAATGACTATTTAAAGATCATGAGATGGGGTCTGATGTGACGTAGGTTTAGAAAAATATTTTCTTTATCGTGCCAACGTTTCGATCCTTATTAAGATCATCTTCAGGGCCATGTTTTGCCTGCATTTCAATAAAAAGGTTCTCTGATTGATTGCAGATGCTAGATCCATTCCATTGATAGCGATGTCCCTCAGAATACTCTTTGCTTATTGTCCAAGGAATAATGCCAGGGCATCAACAATGGATATATTTTGCTGATTGGTTGAAGCGTCGAACACGTCGGGGATTGGTACAACTACACTCTGTCTCTAGGGGATTTTTTCTGAAATCGAAAGTTTTTTTGGTCGAAAGAGATATGAGGACTTAAGCTAACAACTTGGATTCATCACTTTCTTAATCTTCAGTTTTGTCGACTTCTCATCATTTTTTTTAACGTCAATGAGGATTTTTGTTGTTTTATTAATGGATGTGTTCGGTTATTTAATTTATTGTTAAAAAATGTGCTAAAGCATGGCAGAGCCTCGGTTCCTTTTGTTGTAGTTTTTTTTTTTTTTTAATTAGTGCTTTTTTTATAATTGTAATCAAAAGCCTTAATTTTTCGTTCTTTTGCCACTGTTCTTTGGACGGGGAAAGATTCTCAACAATTAAGTTTTAATTTTGTTTGTTTATATCAATAACATACTTAGTGTCGTAATAATGTGTAATTGATATCTGTTCATAGAATCCCATGTTGTTCCTCGTTATTTTCATGTAGAAATGACACTAAACCTTCATCACACCACACCGCACCTTACGATCTCCAAACAGTCATTAATTAAAGGTCAGTAAGTACTACACATTTCTACACGAGAAGAACGAAGAAGAAAACTGGATTACACATGGACAACAAGCAAAGAGGATTTTGAAGGACATCGCTATCAATGCAAAAACTGGCATATACAATCAATCAGAGAACCTTTTTGTTGAAATGCCGGCAAAAAAATGCCCTGAAGATGATCTCAATAAGGATCGAAACGTTGGCACGATAAAGAAATTTTTTTTAAATCTACATCACACCAGACCGCATCTCACGATCTCTAAATAGTCATTACATTAACGGATGTCATTATTTGAAATAGTTGTAAAAAAAATACGATTGCTTTTCTAAAAGAATTAGAGAATGAAACCGAGTTCTGTTTTCATGTTTTAGATCCATTTCCAAATTTGAAGGAGAATCACAAGAAGGAGATAGCTACCAGGAAGACGCGAAAGAAGAAGCAGAGAGGGATTTCGAGGAAGATATTTGCCTGGAGGAGTGCCCGGACATGTTGTCTGGAGAAGGAGACGAATTCAGACACAACCCGATTGAACCTGAAATTAAGATTGTCAAGCCGAAGAGGAGGAGGATTAACGGGCAGCTACGATCCTCGCCTAGTTACGACTACTACGAGCCGCCGTACATCGACCGGGACCCGATTTCTCTGTTTTTCGCCAGCATGGCACAGACGGTGATGACATTTCCGCCCACCCTTGCTGCGGAGGCAAAGGAGCGCGTTTGTCGCATCATAACCAGCCTCGAATACCGGGCCCACGTAAAAAACGATCGATACGCGCCATCGGAGGCTTCGAGCAAAGAAGGACACAGTCCCACGCGTCTGGACGATTCTTAGACTTGCTCATCACTGATTTCATTTCAGCTGTCTTTTTTCAATGTTATTTGATGAGGCAATTTTTAAACATGGAAACTATTAATGGTCCATGATGATTATCTGGAATTATAAGGTTCAATCTGTGAGTATTTTCTCTAATTACATTTTATCTTGTTCCAATCTCTTCTATAAATGTAGACATCCAAAAACACACTCATAAAAAGTACTTTTTATTTTTTTCAACAAGTATCTATTTCGGATGCTTCCCGCTCCCCTTCATCTGCCGTTTTTACTTACAGAATACAAAACAAAACCATCAAATATTCAAAAACAACATGTTCCCAATTAATAAAAGTAACTTACGTGACTAGCAAAAATGAAACTCTTAAGGTTATAATTTACACAATAGGCCATTGTTTTAAATGATCTTTCTTCTGGCGTTACGCGTCATCAACAAGTTAACTAATACATTATGTTCATTTTTAATCGTTTATTTATCCATTAAGCTGGAGAATCATTCTTTGTCGTGGATGCAGAAAGACATCATCAGTGTTGGTAAAACCTCCCTCACAAAAATTGAGGGACTGTACCATTTAAATTATTTTCCTAGAAATAAGGACAATTGATTTATTTTCGAGAAGTCCACACAAAACTTTGGTACTGAGAACCACCTGATGATAGTAAGAATACAAAATTCTCGGATTTTCCTCTGCCCACGTTCAAAAATTCTAACGGTTTAGAATGCCATTAAAAGCGAACTCGGATTCATCAGTTCATAGGATGTATGGAAGAACGTTTTCTTCAGCCTCTCAAATCAAAACTTGTGCAAAGAACGTCAGACGCCTGTCGTAATCAGAGTCCCAATGTCTTGGACCATATGAAATCGATACGGCTTAAAATTGTAAGTCCGGAGTACACCTCTAACTTTATTTTTAAAAAATCTAAAACCTTTCCAACATTTGGGAGAGAGGAATTTGGAGTTTCGCGAACGTACAGTAAAATATCAGCTCCTCGTCCTGAAATCCCTGGACGAGATGAGAGCGATACGGCTTAAAATTGTAAGACCAGAGTACATCTCTAATTTTATTTTATTTTTTTTTAAACTTGAAACCCTTCCAACATTTCAGAGAGAGGAATTCGGATTTTCGAGAACATACAATAAAATCCAATATGTTTAGTGGTCTGATTAACCGAATTACTTGTCTCAATTAATTATTCTTTTTAAGTAAGGTATTGGTTGAGATTAAAAAAGCCAGTTTCACAAGCGGGATTCGAACCCACGACCTTCGGCTCAATACGCCGCTCCTCTAACCACTTGAGCTATCGTGACTTCGATCCACTCGGTCACCAATTCAACTTTTCGTCGAAATTACGCTGCCGGGTTCTTTTGGCCGTAACTCTGTTATTTCTTGACCAATTTAAAATCCGAATGCACCCTTGTTTGCAAAGTAAAAAATCCTTTAAAATGATGTGAGGATGTATGGGATCGTATTTGAAATTTTGAAGTTGAACTGGTCCTGAGGTACCCTGATAATTTTTCTCCAAAAAGAGGTACACTTTTGAAACAAGATTAAAAAAATATTAAACACTGATTTTCTGTTGTTTTGATAACTTCATTGGGTCAAGAAAAATTCACCCGGGATATCTAAAAAAGACACGCTGTATACATATATGACAAATAAAAATATAAAATTCAGTGTTAAAATAATTAATTATAAAATAAACAAAAATACGATACTTGTATATAAAAACAAAGACGACTTTTTATGAAAGTGTGTATTTGTGTTCTACGTCTGTGGAACAGAGTGGATTAAGATAAAACAAATTTTAACAACAACCTACAGAATAAAACAACTAAACAATATTATCAATGTATGATAATATAGTTGTTTATGCTTTAATTACTTTTCTTCGTATATCTTGGACCATAAAATATCTGTTTATATTTTAATTGTTAAAATATAACTTGTTAAAATATTGCGTTTTTATTTTTTGCAATAAACAAGTTCAATGTTTCCCTCATGGTTTGCGCTCCTAACCTTGGGATAAATTAGGTCTAGAATTAAACTGTATTTGACCATGTTTTTAATTTTTAATTGTAAAATTAAATAAATCACATAACCATACATGTTCTTATATAGCAGTTTTTAATTATTTTTTTTTACAAGTTCCTGCATATAAGTTTATAAGTAAGTGCACATGTAAGTTTACATTTTTCTACGAGTAGGAAGTCAGCAGGTTATTGAATAAGGATGGAACCAGGATACTACCCTGTGGGACTCCAGTGTTAACAGGACTGTAGTCAGAGATGGTCGTTCCCTTAAGCGGTCAGTCAGGCATGATATGAAGAAGAAATAGGTAAAAGTAAGATTGCTCTTGAGCACAGCTTACCCGGATGTTAAACCCTTCAGGGCACCCTAGGTTTCAGCCTTATCATGGAAAACACCGAGCAGTATTGTTTCAGCACAAAAGAGGAATAGATAATGGATTGTGGTGTTTATGAAAGGCAAACTGGTGAGATATATAAATCATAATCCACTGACAGTGTTTGTGTTATCTCAACATGGAGATGAAACAAACAACAATGTAGATTTAATAGATTATTGGCAAAATAAAATCTTTCATAAAATAGTTTAAACCTGATGAGGAATCGTGGCACGGCACAAATAAACTGTAGAATGAGACAAGTTATTATACATAAAATACACTGTTGTCTAGTGCAATAAAAAACAATATCTCTATTATTAAATATGACATCTAATAATTATTACAAATATCGTACTTTGGACATACTGATAATATTTAATAATGAACTTTTCTGAGGTTCCATCCTCCTGATGTAAAAGTGTTGAGTTCATTACCCGACCCCTTCCAGAAAATAAAAAGGACAAACAACTAAATACAAAGAAAAGAAGAAAACATTACATTTATATAATATGAAATGAAAAACATATATCAAAATAAAATTGTATTACAGACATTTGATGAGCTAACATCATTCATTACGGGGCTTTGTGATCATTTTTACAAATGAAAATTTTCAATGTAAGAGAAAGAGAGTAGTTTTTAGAAAGAGATCAATTCGGTATAAAAAATCGGCTTATGAACTTAATTGGCATTTATACCACAAGCTATCGCCATCCATAATGCTAAACACCTCATAACACTTTTATTCTTGAATATATAAAATTCATTGGTTTCACGGCGTCGCCGTTATGCTAAACCCTCATGACTGGCAGCTCGTGCAATTCTAGCAAACTTTGCGCCGTGAAATATTTGCACATTTTTGTAAAAACAATAAATGGTATTGTCCATTTTTCGTTATAGTGTTCTAATTTTACAATATATTTACATATTTGTAATTTGATTAAACTAATTCATGTTTATTTTTACTTTAGACCATGCAAGAGTTTCTTAATATCAAAAATATATCCTCATTTCAGAATTATTTCTTTAGTGAGCGTTATAGTTGGAAAAACGATTAAATTACAATAAATAGCTATTTTTTATACTGCAATTATTAAAAATTCATAATTTAATTTTTATATTTGAGGTGGAAAGCAGGTAATAATGGAATTGAAAGATCAAATTATATTTTATTTAGAATTAAAATTCTTCTTTGAGATTACTTGTTATCAATTTCGGTACCGTATCCGAAAATATTTTTTGAATGGGCGGAAAAAACAAACTCCGAATTTGAGGCCATTTAAGATGTTGAGCTAATTGTATTTTTAAAATTTATTGATGTAACTAAAAACATGTTGACATCATCGATTACCAAGACGTCTAATTGATATACCTGTCTCGATAAAACATTTTAAATGTACGCTTAAACTACATTCTGTAGTAAATTGAAAGCGTTGCAAAAAGAATTTCTCAACACCAACATGTTCCTATATAAAAAACTTAAAAACAAATGAATAATAATGTCACTTGGATAAAATAATTCATAAATTTGTTGCCATACTGTTGCTTTTATCAAAACTGTTTGTCTTAAACAAATGATAATAAAGTGTGGTGATTTGTGACCGTTAGTCGATGATTATTCAGAAAGCGTGAGATGCGGTCTGGGGTGATGTAGGTTTCAGAAAAACATTTTCTTTATTGTGCCAACGTTTCGACTTTTATTGAGATCCTCTTCAGGGCCTGGGATTTACAAACATTGTTTAAATTTAACAAAAACATGTAGGATGTGTAAAAAAGTGAATTTATACAATGCAAACAAATATTTTTTTATATTCAATCAAAGTATTTCTACTCACTCAAAGTGATTGTGAACCCTGAAGATGATCTTAATAAAGATCGAAACGTTGGCACGATAAAGAAAATGTTTTTCTGAAACCTACATCACACCAGACCCCATCTCACGATTTCTGAATAATAATAATCAATTATAACTAAATCCATTATGATTCAATATTACTATTTATTTTGTTTAGAATTTTTGATTATTTTAAAATAATTAGCGTTATAGTTTACCGTTAGCGCTAAGTTGAGGTTTAAGTTTATTTAGTTTATCTCGACTTCAAACCCAGTTTCCATGGAAACTCGTTGAATTAATTCAAACGCTGTGTCGACCTAGTTTCTCTTTTAACTACACTTAAGATATTAATTATTAGATGTTCGAAATACCGCTAAATTGAATCTTAAATAGATCCAACGGCAAAGAACGTACTGAATGATTGAGAAAAACGAAGAATCAATCAATTGTTCTTGTGAGCAGTTGAAGTAGTAAGGCGTGGTCAGGTTAGATGTGTTTGAGAAAAACATTTTCATTTTATTGCCAACGTTTTGACCTTTATTCGGGTCATCTTCAAGGCCTGAATAAATTGTATAACAGATGATAGAATTTTTTTTTTTTTTTTTTTTAAATCTTACAAGGAAACACTTTTTACGTACTTTGGAGTCCTTCATAAAAACTGAACTATTATAACACCTATATAAATGGTAAGCATGGGGGCAACAAAATGTAAAATGAAAATAAACATTATTAAACACGAACAGATAAATTTCACCTTGCGTAAAAGTATCTGTCTTTCAGTAAGCATTAAAGGAAACCCATTTCCTACCACTGACCTTGTGCGTTATCATGTACTTTTCATGGATAAACGATTGACGTGGAATCTCAACACAAGATTGAAAATACAAAAAACAAACCGACGTTATAAATTTCTAAAAAGACTACTTGACTTACGATCAACTAATAATCATATCTCAACTCTGAAGGCTTATTTTAAAATGCAATGTGTGGTGATTAGTGACCGTTAATCGATAATTATTCAGAAATCGTGAGATGCGGTCTGGCGTGATGTAGGTTTCAGAAAAACATTTTCTTTATCGTGTCAACGTTTCGATCTTTATTGAGATCGTCTTCAGGGCCTGGGATTAACAAACATTGTTTACATTTAACAAATACATTTAGCATGTGGAAAAGTGAATTTATACAATGCAAAATATATTTTTTATATTCAATCAAAGTATTTCTACCCACTCAAATTGTTTGTCTTCAGTGTAATTGTGCCATTCTTGCGTGTCGTACACAGGAAGATTTTGCTGTTTTAACACGCAAAGAATGGCACAATTACACAGAAGACAAACACTTTGCGTGAGTAGAAATACTTTGATTGAATATAAAAAATATATTTTGCATTGTATAAATTCACTTTTCCACATGCTAAATGTATTTGTTAAATGTAAACAATGTTTGTTAATCCCAGGCCCTGAAGATGATCTCAATAAAGATCGAAACGTTGACACGATAAAGAAAATGTTTTTCTGAAACCTACATCACCCCAGACCGCATCTCACGATCTTCGAATAACCATCGACTAACGGTGACTAATCACCACACACTTTTTATTACAGTTTTTTGGTGGTTAGAACAATAAGACAACCCATTTTTCCTTATTTTTTAAAATTCCTATTAGATAACAGATTTTTTTTTTGAAGGGAGGCTTTTCAGTCTTCCTCCTTTAGTCTACGAATTAAAATAATCAGTAATACTAATTAAAAAATGAAATAAATAAAAAGTTCAAAGAAAAAACCAGATGCTTTATTGTTACAAACAACAAGAACTGTCAAAAATATGATAACCAAA